TTGAATCAAGAATTTATCCGCAATCAGATCCTGAGGGCCGCGTTGTACAAGAACCAAACAGAAGCTCGAGAGTCAGCGCGTGATTTAAATAGTCGCGTAAGGACCGTTTGCGACCATTATTTTTTTTCCAACTATTGAATCATTCATACGCGCGCCTGTCTGTGCTTCGTACATTTCTTTCACTTATGTATTATCCTAATTAGCTCCAGCTCAGTTTATGAGGCAGTTATCGCGTAGATGCCAGATGTTTTTGGTACAGTTGAGACACAGTTTACGAATAAATACCATATATAATCGCTTTTCCTTCAATATTTTCCACCGGAAAATATTCAAGGGGAAACTTGTTACCTCATTCGCTTCTTTGTTAAAAAAAGAATCTCTTAGAACTAACTTCAGGTGGGGTTCTTTATGAATAATATAAATAATATAACGCGTTTTTTAATAAAAATATAACGATTCGTTAAAAGGTAGAAGAGATATTATACATATTACATTCAAAACATCGACATAATTCAAATGTCTCTAGTTAACAAATTAACCTAATTCCTTTCGACAAATTAACAATTTGTCATCCCTTGGAGAGGCATCCAGAGAGTTTTCCATTTCATTTTCATTAAATCTCCTTACGATACGTTCGATTGAAAGCGTTCACTTGACTGATTAACATGCTTCGCGTAAAAGGAAAAGTTTCCAAGTGTCTCGTGGTGAATACCTGTACACATGTTGTTTATACATTATTCATCTGGCACGCACACTAAACTAATTCACGGTCTGCTGCTCCGCGTGTATACGTGTATGCGTATGTCTCCTTTTTTTTTTTTTTTATGTATATAGATATATACGTAACGCGTTTCTTGTATATATGTGTATACATATAATGCTTGATAATGCGTTGCAGCGAAGTTAATATACCCGACTATACACCTCTTGGTATGTAATAATACGCGTATATATAAATACATACACGTGTGCATGCGGTCGCGCGTGGTACACGCGCGCACAGAGTCATACTTTTACAGACACAGACATACACACGGCCGTGTATGTACGCGCGCGCGCGCGCATGTATACATATATATATATAATCTAACTATACATATAACTATGTACATTTTTTTTTTTTTTTGAGGGATAAGGTGAATTTCGAAGGGAGAAAGGAGCACTGGGGAAAAAAAGGGGGAACCGAGAAGAGGGAACGGATTAAAAGAAATATACGTGTGTCTGTGTTTGTGAGCGTATGAAGGGAGAAGAAAAGAAGAGGAAAAGATATGGTGTGAATAGGCAGAAGTTTCGTCGAAGGAATATCTTCGTGGATCGTTTAGGGAAAAAAGGGGAGAGGGGTAGTAGGTTTTTTCGAATTCGTCGAGGATGGTCTTGCGATTCGGCGCGCTCCTTTCTTTTCTTCTTCTTCTTCTTCTTCTTCTTCTTCTTCTTTTTTTTCGTTTTTTTTCTTTTTTTTTTTTTTCTTTTTAACTCTTCTTTCATCCGAACTGGCGAAAAACCTAAGTGCTGCGACTATAGTGTGTGGGAGGAGCTGGCACAACAAACGCTCGTGTTTGCATCTTTTTTAATACCACGACGAGCTGTTGCTTGCCCGGCGCACTGTTAGACGTCCGTGTATTTGCTCAGCTTGTCACGCAGCAGCATGTTCTCGTTCTTTAACCGGTCCAGTTCCTGTCGTAGACCCATATTCTGAAAGGAGAGAAGATTTTTCTGGAATTCGGGATCAAGTGTCGTAAAATTATCGAAAAATCTTTTCGGAGGGGAGGTAATATCATCATCATAATATTGTTGGCGCGTTTGACAAAAAGAAAAATGAATCTAATCTTAATGAACCTGATCTTAATTCCATCGATAGAATGGAAATATTAGATCTTTATTCTAATATGTGTTGTTTAATTTTAGAGGCGTGGGAAGATTTACTTCTTTCTCGAGGAAGCCGGCCCTGAGAGCGATCTGGTTCTCCTTCATGCGACGTGCATCCCGTGATCGTTTCGCTGCCATGTTATTCTTCCTACGACGCGCCCAGTATTTGTCATCCTTCAGGTCATCCGGAACGAACTGTAGCCGGTAGCGGACCATGGAAAAGAGCAGGAAATTAGAACGTAGAAATTGCTGTATTTCTAAATCGTGGCGAAAAAAAAGATTATTGTATCTATAAGTAGAATCTTTGGTTGGGAACGAATTTGTGAACATAATTAAATTTTCTTTTTCAAGTATATTGAACATGAAAATGGACTGACCTGCTTCCGTGATTTCTTGATCATCGGTTGGGGTTTCAGCTCCTCGTCGGAGAAGGCCCGGGTGCGTGGATCGAAGTCTCGCCCCGATGAGGCCATCGAGAGCGCTACAAGAGACAAGCCATATTGTATTCGTGACGAGTCCTCGGAATCTATCACGCGAAGAGGGAATAATCGACAATTTCGATGTTAGTTTCATCCGTTTCCCGAAAACTAAATCGTCGTTATTAACCGGAGTCGATCCTGAGACTTTAACGCCTATACTTTCTCAACTCGTCATCCCTTGGATAATCCTTTACTTTTAAAATCAAATTTAAAACCATTGCATTTCTTTCCTAAATCCTCCATTTCGTTTTTACTCTTCGACAAATCTTCTTATAAATTCTAAACTCTTTACTTTTACTTTTAACGTTGAAATTCTATCGTGAATTAAATAACCTTTTTCACTTGACACCAACCCTTCAACCCAATTCTTTCCTCCCTAATTCTTCCACGATCGATAAATTAAACGAAACGATCTTAAAAATACAATCCCCTCAGGATCGACGCCCAAACAAATCAGGTAGGAAATCGGATGAACGATTCACTCACTGGAATCCGCGGGCGAGGGAGGGTTCATAGTGTCGGGTGAGCAACACTCGCTCGGCGAGGGTGATCTCTCGCGTTTGGTGACCGGCTCTAAGTGGAGGCCGGCTGGACCTTGGTGTCCTGGTGTTTCGGTGTTGTTCATTTTGTGCAGTTGTCCGCTCTGCATCGTCCCTTGTCCGCCGCCGGCCACTCCATCCACGGGAATACCGTTCTCGGAGAGAAACTCGTCGAGATCGACGTACTGTAACAGGAGGATAACAGCATCCTTTTTTTTTTTTTTTT